CACCTAACAGCCCGGATTTGAATGTGATCGAAAACTTTTTATCTGTGTTGAAAACAGAGCTGAGTCATCTTCCTCGAGAGTGTTCGCTGGAGGCCAGGGTGCGGCATATACTGGAGGAAGCTGACAAAAGTGATTTAATTTCCAAGTTGGTGGACTCTATGCCAAAAAGACTGACTCAAGTGCTCCAAAATAAAGGACACACAGATTATTAAAAATATGAAACTCTTCAATCTGTGCAATTGATATAAGTTCTTTTCACGAATAATCTTTTACTATTTCCCTCCACAGATGTTCGGTTATCTTACAGTCGATGCGTCAGCGACCATAGTCTAAATGGAGAAATTGTACTTTTTTAACGCGCTCGGCCAAAAGAAGCAACCATATAAGTTATTACTATTTTAAAAATTTTGCGAGTGACCTAGGGTAATACCATGTACATTCCCGTGCAAGGCGATCAAAACCTTTGGCAATGAGATAAATAGATTTGGGAAAAGTCATGATGTTGCACGAGTTTGGTTAATACCTGTATATATGATAATTAACAGTATTAAAATAATGTATTACCATGGCTACAGGGAAATTTGTATACATACAGATTCAATTATCAGACTATCAGAAGTCAATCGTGCACAATTATACCGCGTAATTATACTGAGGTATCAAGATTTTGTTCTTGATATTTTTCAACTCTAGGGTGCACACTGGCAACCATTCTTGTATAAAAAAATGTGAACTTACCGTAAGGAGTGAAATTAAACAGTGGTGGTAAGGGCCTATCGTTCGGCAACCGCGTGTCCTCCATGCGAAGCTCATCAAAAAATCCATGCATCATAGCCTGGATTGGTTTGAGCCGTTTGCTCGGGGTATAGTCCAAAAGCTGAGAGACAAGCTGGACTGCGTCGGAAGGCACGCGCGGACGGAAAACCTGTGTAACACAAGTTAAGTGCTGATTACCAATAGTGTAACCGAAATGTGTTGATCGCAAATAGTTTAGTGATCTGTTACAACA